TTTCGTGATTTTAAAATTATGAAATTTCGAAACGGCACCATCATCGAACCAAAACTCACTGCTATTATGCATACTTCGGTGAGAAGTCATCGGAAAATCCTTTACAGGAGGCGTATCAATCCTGGCCTTTTTTGGCTCATGGTGTACAACTGTCCAACCATCTCCAGAAGGAACATCTGATTTCTGGAGTGTACAAGGTTTTACATCAGCAACCGAAGAAGCTTGAATAACAAAGGAATCATGGCCAATAACCAATCGAACCAATCTGGGAATAGAGGCACCTTTGAGCTTCCAAATATGGACCCTGACCAAGCTTAGATCAACTCCAGTCAAGGATGCTCTATCAATATCACAGAACTCACCGTAATAGTTGGTAATCTTGCGGACTGTGTCCAAGGTCCAAGCATGGAAAGGAATGCCGGGAAGAGAAATCTACAAGTTTTCTCTCTGTACATAAGATAAATGAGACGAAGGCTTCCAGTAGTCTAAAGATAAAAGCTTGCCACGCACACGAACAAACGATTTCCCAATGCAACTGAAGCATCCTCCTTGGAACGTAAGAGGGAGACAATCTTATTAGAACCCAAAATTTGGACTCTAGGGGCGTAAGAGAGTCCCCCAGCTCTTTCTAGCCCAATCGCTCAACCCAAAAATGTCATTAGAAGGTGGGGAGAAGGATCCCACAATAGGGAAATGACTCTTCTCAAAGATACCTGAACCCAGATCAAACTTGACGTTAACCACCGGTGTAAGCAGAGAGTCAAACTTCGCCCTCCAACTCTCCTCTGCCTCCCCTCCTTTTTCCACCATCTCTTAAGGTTGCAACCTTAAAATGTAGAATCACAGATGCACCTCAAAAATCTATCGGAAATGTTGTTTCAATGTTGAAAAAAACCTCTAATCGATCATCTCGACATTGAGATGTATGAATATAGAAAAAAAAAAAAAAAAGGTTTTTGAGTCCCAAAAATAATGCATCTTGCAACACATTATCTAGACCGTTCATTTTCAAATTTTCATATATTTATAAATCTACTAGATTTGAATCGTTTTTAGAATTTAAACTTTTCTAATTAGGTATGAAAATAGATTTTAAGATAATACTAAAAATGTTTTATAACAAAAT